TGGGATAACCCTGATGGACAAAAATGGCCCACTCCATGAGTCCTTTCATGTTACCGCTATAATCCGGTTTTTGCAACAAGCCCGAAGCCTACTCCCAGGGTCCTCTGCAGACGTGCAGAGGTGTGTGAATCAAAAGGGCTACAAGCACGTTCTTTAAATAACTTATTAGCTTGTTAACACATTCTGAAACCGGATAGGATAGGGTTGAACCAGCAGCCCTGTGACTGGTCGCTCCTCCCTTACTGAAAATCGTCTTTGTATATTCATTCAGTATGTCAAAGTGAAAATGAACGGAAAAGGTGAACAGGAAAAATGCTATGAATGATTAAGCAAAAACTTTCAACTAACCGAATGATCCTTGAATGAAGTTGTCCAATTTACAAGTAGTAGAAGTAACACAAATTAAAGTTAATATTGACCAGAGACCAACTAACCTTAGTATACATCCAATTGCCTTAATCAATCTGTCATCTTTCGAACTTCCCCAAATTATGGAAAGTTATTTGCGCATCATGAGGCATTTCAAAATTTTTTCTCTACAAAATTTATTCCGATGAGGTGTACTCAAATAAAATTGAGTGCTTTGAACTCAACATTTATTTATTTGACCATTTTCATTCACTTGTGTTACGATAACTAACGGTTTGCATGAATTCATTTCTCTGAGTGAACAACAGTACACCTAACACGCATTTGAGACGCTCTGCAGAATATCATGTTAGAAACGGTGATTTTAATTGGCCGTGATGAAACCAAACATCGTTCGACAATCGGTTTTACTTATTTCTAAGCACAAAACGATATACTCACGAATTTAAGTTGCTTTACACGGGTTTGTTGTTTTGAAGTTAAACTCGCAACTCGAGCGTAGTTTGTAGTTTAGCCATGGTTCGCGCGACCCATTTGGGGAAATTTTCTTCTTTTCTGGAAAGTTGATTATCACCAAAGACAATATCCGCTTTATTTTGATGGGTAATTATGGCGGGNTATCACAATGGTACGCATTTCGTTCCGGTTGGGCCGATATTTTTATCCAGGAAGAAGCCACAGACATGCTTTAGTGATGAATTCTAGCAACAGCTAAACAAATTCTTAGCGCTTCCTGTCAGTGTGGTTGATTCAAAGAATAGCAGATTTTCTGTGAAGATTAAGTCTAAACGACGATTGAGCAATGAACATAAAACAATTGAGATGAAGGTTTTTGGGTTCATGAAGCTTCTGACATTTTTGGCAATGTACCGTCGTTTTGCAGTTAGGTGAAACCGTTCTCCGTAACAATGTTGATTTTTTATTTAATCAAACATGCATTCGGAGCTTCCTACTCAGCTCTCAAAGTGGCCCAAACTAACGTCCTAGCTTTGCAATAAACCAGACTTCCCCTGTGAAAATACCTCTTCAATGGATCATAATTTTACATTTGAATTCATCTTTTTTCGTCTAGGACCATTGCATCACAAAATACCAAAGGAGGTTTGATAAAACAACCTGAGGATATTCCTGGTCCATTGTCGAGCTGTTCCCTGGTATCAGAAAAAAGTTCAGTTTTTGGATGAAGTGAACACCATGCAAGAAAGTTATCGAGTGGTTGCGCTTTATTAGTATTAAACATTTCAGTTTACTTGCTTCTTATTTTTGGACTATACAAATCTACAATCATCCTCCGGTAAGAGATCCGCGGCCATATAAAGGCTGCCAGGGGAAATACAGAAACTAGGAAGATAAGCAGAGGTGAAGCGGTTCATACCCGGGACTTCCAGGTGACTATTTCGATGACCATAATCACTTCATTATTTACGTTGTACAAGTAAATCTATGCTCAATATATTATTCAAAAAAGGTGCGAATATAAAGGCACAGTGTTACACATGCTATCGTTCAAATGGGATCGAGCGGTGTTGCATTGTTGAAACTTGAGTTGATTTTGAGAACAATCAGTATAATCAAATCCAGCGCATGGTAAATCTGAATTGCAAAATTTCTGTTGTCATAGTATTTTTTAGGTGTATAATCGCTGTACGTGCGTGTGATCGAACGCTGGTTATCGCAGCGAATTGTTGTGGGTACACAACTCGTCTCAGTTTGAGTTGCGATCCGAGCTGGTGAAAATGAATTTCTAACGTTAAATAAAGAATTTTCTCATTCAGAGCCTGGAAACAACAAACTTATGCCAAAGTCACAAATCCACTAGCATATCAGAGCAGAGTAAAAGGGAATCAAAAATCTAGGATGTATGGCGTAAAGCTCATCTGAACTCCTTTGGTTTCATCTATGATGGCAGGAGTTTAGTGCTACACCTCCCGGTCCAATTCGGGAAATCATAGATCATACATAGCGGGCACATGTTAGGACTCTTCTGCTGCCTTCCTACACGCCTTAACAAAACCATTTTTTCCAGCTCGTAGCGCGTTTGTAACATCACATATGTTCACCTCGGTTTTCAGGTTTGTAGAAACCATCTGTCCCCAGGGAGAAGTTTATTTGTTTGCATGGTGCACAACGTAACACGAAAGCTGTTTTAATATGCAGGTAAAGCACAACTCACGACACCAGAGATTGTTCCAAAGAGCATTAGAAAACTCATGACTTACAGCTGTTACCAGTGCATCTCCTTGAAGACCGCAATTCCCAAACAAAACGGAGTCTCGAAGTCCTCCAATTGCGAACCGGATGTAATGAGCTGCAAACAAAAACATCAAGCTTTCACCATTCTGGGTCCATATTCATGCCCCCTGTTATATTTAAAATTTGAACATTAGTTTGATGAATCACAGAATCGATTTGAAAGTGATTTTATCATACAGGCATTCTAAAAGTATGCCTAACATGACCGTCAAATTAGAAAGATATTTTAGTTTAGAACACCTGTATGATGATAGCTATGAGTAAAGGAGATTTATTCATAGCATTATCTTTTCCACTGCTCTGTTCTTAGTTGTCAGGTAACCATTTAAATTCGTGCAACCGTGAATGTCACCATTAGATATGTGGTAGTTAAAAAACAACAATACAAAATAGGAAATTTTGATATAAAGCAGCATAGAAGTTCATTCTTTCAGATAAACGATTATTTGTCCTGAGGCTGCATATTCCGTATATTATATATTCAGTACAAGTATTTTTAATGGTACATATTTTCCAGTATGGTGCAAGGTAAATATAGCTATAAATGATTATTTTTATCTTAAATAAATTGAGGAATGATATGGATCAGGCGTAACGAGGAAGAGATCTGACGAACGTAGCTCTGTCCCACAAGTTCGATCAATACATTTATTGTTGCATTAGTTAACTTTGAATCTAGAAAACCGCGAACAGCAAATTACATAAATCTCACCTAAATTGCTTCCATCATAGTATTAGGGGAAATTCTGTTATATATGTTATATATTTATATTTTACAATAAGTAGCAAATGAATGACTTGACACAATTTTCCAGAAGCGCGCGACTGGTTTTGCGCCCCTCGCCCCTCATCAGGTACACGTATCTAGTAGTGTTTTGTTTGTTCATTCTAATGCTTGGAATTCCTACTTTAATCAAGCTACGCAAACCTTTTTTGCATATATATGTGTATATATACATATAAATTGGTGTTAATCGAACTCGTGCAACGTGACTCACGTTTTGAAAATACATTGCAGTTTCCAATGTCATATATATATATATATATGTATATATATATATAGTTTTTTTCTTTTCGGTCTAAAAATCACTTGAAACTTGGAACAGAAGGTAATGGATCTAAGTCCATAAAGAGCGTAGGTAGTATCACTTTTACCATGGAGCTATTCTCTCGGTTCTCATCAGTACGGTTTTCTTCTGTACTGGTAGAAAACAAGTAAACTTAATGCTAAGCCTTCATGTCATTTTATTCCCTTACCCTGAAAAGGCTTCCACGACTTGAAAATCACCCTCACCATTCATGCCTCAAATCAATTATTTTCAAGTTATCTAAAATTAGGATTTTTTTAATAGAAATCTATGTAGTGAACATCACTTGGTACTGTCATTGAAGGAGTACGTGTATGATTCTCATATAAAACATGATGACAGTAACTGAAAACATGGTGAACAACAAGCGTTTGATGTCTTGTGTAAGGTTTTCCGGAAAAACCTAGTATAAAATGCTATTTTTGATTTCCAAATCGAAACTCGCGTTTGTAAATGATAATAAATACATTCAAGCTGAACTTTTATGCGTCTCTTTTTGCTTGAGTTATTCTTTTCCCGTCTTAAAATAGACCAATTTATTGCTATTTAAACATTCTCATCGAAAGCAGCGTACCTATCCTGAATATCGCCATTGACTTTGTACTATTTATTTCTTCTTCTTGTCATTCGTTCAGCATCATCCCGTAATGCGCACATCACGAGATTGCCTCGTGTACAGTTTTCAGGAATGGCGTTGCGCCTGTCTGACCGTTATTGTTATCATCTGCGTATTGGGCACGTGTTTGTGCGAATTTTTGCACCATCTGGCGCGACATCAGGCTCGTTTGGACGCCGATCAAGCCACAGAGGTGACCGCGAAAGAGAACGAGGAACAAACAAAGTCTGCTGGAGAGTTTCCGGTGGAACGAACTCAAACAACGCTTGCTCATTATGAACATGTGCTCAAAAAAGCATTTTGTTGCCAGACCACTTATCTGGTGATCTGTGGAGCTCTGGTGTTTCTATTCTATCTAGTCTACTTAATTGAATGCTGGAATTCAGCCATATGGATGCGTTCGGTTTATTGTGTGGACACGCAAAGTGCCTATCGTTTTATAGACGTCTTGCGTCGTACCATTCCCGTGATCTACTGGCATGTGAGTTGCTATCATTACAGTTCATCCCATTCCCCACGCACGGTCACCAATGCTTACACTGCGGACCCAGACCGCCAACCGACAGGACCAGCACCTCAAACAAGTCACCCCACAACTCAGCCCCCGAATTCGTCCTCTACATCCCTGCAAAACAAACCCCCAACAAACTTGACCCCGCAAGTGAATTTGGTTACTGTAGCTTCTGCGCATCAAACCTATTCAACCCGAGAGCAAAAGGTTATTACGGCCAGTGGAACGCGAATATTTGATTTGAATCAGCTCAATGGAATGTGGGATTTGTCTGGTGATGTGTCCGAGCTGGAACTCTATCCGCTGGTTGAAATCAACTTGCGAACCGAATGTTTGTTCGCAAATGAGACCGCCAAGTTGGAATTCGAACGTGAACGTTGTGCGTTTTATACTTCGTTTGAGAAATACGACATGTATATGGAAACAGATCAGGGTGAGTTCAATCAAAGGCGGGTACTTAACAAGCAAATAATCCGGTTTTTAACTTTTCTTCACATCTATGGAACTACTTTACTTTCTTGCCTCTCTTGTCGGTGTTGCTATAGATCCGCTTTCTGATTTTTTTGACGAACGAAATCTAAGCTAATTTTCTCGATGTCGGAAGATGCACGAGTGAAGCAACACCGGACATTTCTCAGTTGGAATTTTCATCCCTAACGGAAGTTGGAATTCCGGTTGTCGGCAATGAGCACTATTGTTGTTGTTTTTGTCGGTCTCGCGTTTCGGTAGCCGGCATTCTGTGGTTCGCTAAAAAGCCGAATTGTCACTGAAGCGAAATCGGACGACCATAGTTAACCGATTTCTACCGATCAACAAACTGAGCTTCACATCTTTAAAATGGGGTAAATCTAAATGCAAATCAGTGACTATGGTATACAAAATACCGAACAAGAAGTTGACTAAAGTTAAAAGCTTAGCCGATGACGTTATGGACAAAAATAATTTATAGTTTTTTTAGAAAGCATTGCCTTACGGATATGTTATTTAAAGGAATTTGCCAATTATATGAAGTGAACTGACACTCGACTTTCGGTCAAATGGACGGAAACAATTGTGTTTTGGAGACAGAATCGGGAAGGTAGATGAGAGAGATTCGAAAGAGTTTTCCGATCATAGTTGTTTTGAATGTGGGAGATGGAGCTTGTCGTTTCAGAAAATACCGGTCCAATCAACGACATAACCAAATAAACCACGCAATCCTCGAGCAATGGAGAAGGCAGCAGTTTGTGAATCAATTTACAGTGAGATAAACAGGCTACCTTTTGTACGAATAGTTATCTAGAATTAAAATTTATTTGTGTATGCCTGAGAGCATTTTTCCTTCGACGATAAGTTTTTCCTCTAAGAGTTTTGCATTTTGTATGGCCCATTCGATTTTCACTGGCAACAGGCATTGGTAATGGTCCTGGCTTTTTGTCTGGGCTCAAAAGATTGAATGTTTGATGATGTGCCTGAGTTTAGATAAACGTAGGTGACAGATAGACAACTAATCAACTGTTTTAAAGTTTGCGGCTGTCAAAGAGATCCAATAGCTCAAGGGTCTTACCAGGGAAGAAGCAGCTATCCAGCACTCCTGGTGGATTATTGGAAAAATATCTGTCATTGAAAAATGTAACTATTTCTGTGTGAATGAATGCGAATCAACTACTTTTCTACTTCGTGGATGGCTGTTGTGTGATGACCGCTGGGCTTACGATCCTAAGGTGAATAAATAAAACCATTTTCTAGGTAAATGAGCACTGTTCCTAATTGAAAGAAGTTGCTTGTCGTAATTGCTGGAGGCTGGAAGCTAGGTGATCCAACTAGTGTGATCACTGTTGATGAAATGCCCCGGGTCAATTAACACATAAAGGCAGTTTATGTTGGGGAGGTATCCAATTAGCAACAATTCATACACTGAGACACAAAATGATTTAGACATCTGAAACTGATCTTTATTGGACCATCTCTGAACAGCTCCAAACTCACTAATGATAATAATAATAATAATAATAATAATAGTGTTTATAAGAGAAAATCGCAAAAAATACCTTCAAAACAAAATGCCGCGCAGTACGAGAAAGCGTAATCCTACCAACAGCTACATCTGATGGAGTTAATGTCAAGAAGACAGAAAACAGAAGAGATCATTGATTTTATTCACAACGGATTACGCATGTTTTTTCACAAAAACTGATCAAAGTGAATTATTTCAGTTCTTCTATATCACTTCCATTTTGGTGAGCCTTGTAATGTGGATGGCGACGGATACAGCCTGCATATCCATTCAGTGACAAAACACAGTAGAAAAATATATGCCAGCATCAGAAAGAACAATGGTGCAAAGGACAGGGCGGGTAAATATAAAGAACATGAACTGAAGAACATGGATCGGCGCATAGAAACGGCAAACTACGTGTTACACAGGTTTTCCTAAACACTGTTTGGTTACCTTATCCTTTTGAACTAAAATCTAGAAAAGGAAAAACTTTTCCAAACAACCGGTTGTTCACTTTTAGTACCAATTTGGTACTCAAATTATTACACAGTCCTTTTACGTGTGGATCTGTGATCGTTCCCAAAATCGTACGAAGCAGCTTGAAAATTGATTAGTCGAACTCTTATTGCGAGAAACCCGAGACTCGGTCATCGGATTTGTTGCTGGTCACTGAAAAGGCGTTTAGGATGTAGGACACGACCTGATTTGCAAGGTCAGCCGAAACGCATACCCAGAGTGAATTGATAACTGCATTTGAAATTACAAAACTGTGTCTATCTAGCGATGGTCACCATGCGTTGAGTCTTCTTTATACAAATCAAGACGATCCAGACACTCGTGATTGAAGTTGACTATTAATTGTTTTAAGCGACCAGTGAAAGTGATGCAAGGGTAAAGCTGAATTGTTAACCATTCATTAGTTTTTCATTTGTTTCATTAGCAAAATAATCCGATCTGATATTTAACAGAGAAATACGGCATCTTACCATTAGGTATATTTTGTGGAAATTCAATTGTCCTTCATTCGCAAACATTATTTTTAGAAAAATTAGAAGGAAACTTACGGAGGCAAATAATTTTCGTCAAAACAAACTTGATATACCTCTGGTCTGATACTTTCGTGCGGAAAACAGCCAATTCCATATGGCAGTCTGAAATAACCAAGTTTTTGTTCTAAGAGCCGAACTGCTGCGGGAATAAAGACTTATAACTACCATCTGCTACGGTATTCTAAAGAAATCGTGCTTCCAATCAAACTTTACTAATGAGGACATTATTCTCGTTAAATTATTTTCCGAAATCAATGATTCCAGAAAAGTAAAACGTTTATTTACTTAAACACTAGTTTTGACTTCTGATTGCTTTTCTGTGGCTTTTGTCACCCATACGTCAGTGCCATCAGATAATTACACCCGGAAATGTATGTCTGCCGTTGTAAGCCCAGTGAGCATTGGTCTTTCCATTTCCATTCTCAGAGGTTGACACTCTAATCCATCCTTCAAATTGTGATAAATGAAAAATGCCATTAGCTGCTCATTGTTCGACTGTAGAAAGCTTTTTGTAGAGAATTATAAATAAATTTCGTTCGATAAACAAAAGTTAGCAAAGTGGAAAGATGGACCTTTGAGTCATTATTAATTTTTATAAATCCGTTTCAAATCTGTTGTGTCAAGATTTGACGAGAAGTTAACTGAGAGGTTTTACTGGAAGATGACGAAAGTTAAAACAAATTCCTTTACTTTAATTTGTGTTCAGTACCGTTAAATGAGCCATATCTCCTTTTGGTATTCAATACTAGTTGAGTAAAAAGGTCCATCATGCAGTTTGAAGTATCTATCTTCTCTGCATCTCAACATGGTGCAGACTTGCATAAAACACAATAATTACGCAGTTTTGTTTTACTTGGTAACAGAGCAAATTAAATTCAATAAAACAGATAAACTTTAAAGGCGGAAGGGTGAAAGTATCATGTTGTGAGGGCAACGACAAACTTAAACAGAGTTCTTTTTGTTGACACAGGGCGGAATACCATCGGTTGATAGCAGTCGCTTCCGCAGACCTTAGCAATCTTGCGATTCGTGACTTGTAGACAAGGTGAAACGCCGTTCTTCGGTGGATCTAGTGTTGTGCTATCAGAAGAAGACGGTATCTTGTAGTCTTGACCGTCTTTCCTATGACCTCGACTGTATCATCAAACTTAGGATATATATACACAAATCACATACTTTGGAAATTTATATCGGGAGATGTTTTTGTTAATCTCTCTTATCTTTAAAATAGATTTTCATGGTTAAATCAGCTCTACGGTACACACATGCTCTTTTTCCATATATATTTCAACTGCCTTCAATGTTCTACTTACAATCTTCCACTGAGAACAACTTTGCCATCAGGGAATTTCATATCCGAAAGTTGAGGGAAACACATTTCGTGGGAAGAAACTTGACTGTTTAATGTGGCAATCGGCTCTCGCGAAATGCAGCTCAATTGACTGGATACAATGTTTTAAATAGAGAAGTCAGAAATACATGTTTTACGTGAGGATTTTGCTGCTTCTTCACAAGTGCTTGATGCAGTCAATGTGATTTTTATAACCAGTGAAGTAACAAAATTCAGGCAAAGAAAGTATTACTAATTACAACGGACAACACGTCACACCAACACAAAAAACGAAAGGGGGTGGGGCTCATCCGCTGAGGTAAACCTAATATGAAAAACCATCCAAGTTTTTTGCATAGGTGAGGTTTGTGATTATAAATGGTCAGAACCTCAGTCAACTTCCGTAAATTTGTGTTTGTTGTGTTGTGATTGAATAGAAATGAGTGGACTGGATTGACAGAGGTTCTGCAAAAATAGGTTGCGCATAATCGAAGATCCGAGTGTTTTCTGTCTAGTCGATGGCGCAGGAAAGCAGTGATTCTTTTGGCCGATGTTTAGGTTTCAGGATATAGTGAAGACAATGGCCAGATTAGCTGCACGGTAGCCGCGCTTGACCACAGAGTTCAACTGCTAACTAACTGATTGACTCACCATAACCTTTGCTTGGAAACTTTGAGAGAGCTTTTATTTTGAGGGCAATTATTAGATTTTCCACTCTTTGTGTTGCTAACGATGAATGCAACTAGATATTTGTTTAAAGAGTTTACTATCATCAGTTAAAGGGACTTCTGTGCACACTTCAAGCGATCAATGAAATAGTATACAAACGAGATTAATTTTATATTCCATGAGGATGAAGCTCGTGAAATGCAAATATTCCTCAGGTGATATATTTGACAGACGACAGATCACTCAATCGACCCAGTTGGTCATCTAGTAATGTTTACATCTAAAAACTCGTTGCAGTCTTCTCGTTCGCTGTATCAAGTTCGCTTTGTGTTAGAGTGAACTGTGTTCAGTAGATGAACTAAATTTTCTCCTCCCTCTTTGGTGTTTCTTATAACGAGGATGCCATC